TTTTCTTTAAAAAACCTTTTTAGAATTTCATAAATTCCCTTTCAATTTACTAGCTTTTTACAAATTTATCTAAAAGAATTCTTACAATAACTTTAAAATGTATATTATTAAATACTACATATAACCAAACAAATAATTTGTATATAAATAATTAAAAATTAATTGTGATATTAAAACAAACATTGATGTGTTTTCATCTATTTTGAATCAAGCACCATGAGTTAATTCATGTTTAACAAAAACAAAATAAAAGATTCTTTCCACTAATTCCCTTGTATTCTAAATATCATTACAACTCCAATTCAACCAACAAAATCGCCATCAATGCCCATTCCATCTCCTGCCCTCAACTTACACACCCCCTGCCCGAACCGGTTTTGACCTTCCGGGCGGGTCTACATATAAGAAACTCTACCATTGACCTTTTTAAGATTTTGACCAAAAAAGTCAAACAGAGTTCCACAAACTCAATCCTCTCATATTTATGATTCAAGGATGGATTCCAGGAAGAAGAGGTACGGGTGGTTTTTTCTCTTTTATTTTCTCGACTAAAACGGCTTGCGTAGTGAGAATGATAGCAGCAATTGAAACTGCATTTTGAAGGGCACACCTTGAAACTCTACAAGGGTCAATGACTCCTGCTACAACAAGATCTTCATATGTATCTGTCATTGCATTATACCCAAATTCCCATTCGAGTCTCTTCATCTTCTCAACCACCACATCACCATCTACCCCTGCATTTGCTGCTATCAGTTTTGCAGGAGCTTGCAACGCCTGTAAATCCATCATGCATGTGTAAATCACCATTTTACCCTTCCTCATATATTACTATTACTATATTATACTAATATACCAATACAATTGCCGGTGTGGATATATGCTAATAATGAAATTTACAAAAACAGCCCCTGGATTAATGGAATAATTACATGTTTAGTCCCTGTAGTTTTTATATATAATTTTTAACATGTATTAATTACAGTTTTGGTTTCTGACTCCATGTAGCTTTTAGTTTCAATAACTATAGATTTGCCCCCTCTAGTTTTTAATTTCAATAATTACAGTTTCGGTACCTGAACTTTATAATTTGCAATAGTTACAGACTTACAATTTTGATCCATGTATTTATTAATTTAAGATAGTTATAGTTTTAGTCCCTGTAGTTTTGAATTTGTATTAATTACAGTTTTGGCCCCTTTAGTTTTTAATATCAATAGTTACACTTTCAGTACCTGTAGTGTATAATTTGCATTAATTCACAGTTTTGATCCCTGTAGTTATTAATTTAAGATGGTTATAGTTTTAGTCCCTGTAGTTTTGAATTTGTACTACTTACGGTTTTGGCCCCTGTAGTATTTAATTTTAATAACTACAGTTTCAGCCCCTGTATTTTATAATTTGCATGAGTTACAGTTTTGAACCCTGTAGTTATTAATTTAAGATAGTTTTAGTTTTAGTCCCTGAAATTTGAATTTGTATTAATTTCAGTTCTGGCCCCTGCAGTATTTAATTTCAATAACTACAGTTTCAGTCCCTGTAGTTTATTAATTTGCATTAGTTAACAGTTTTGGTCCCTGTAATAAATGATTAGTAAGTAACTTAGTCTAGTAAGCTATATCGGTTATCTTTTTGACTATTTGACTTAATGCAGAAAGAACACAGGAAACAGAAACATACAGATGCTATGATGTTGACACCACTTTCTTCATCTAGATCTTCCATTAACTTTTTAATGGAGGGAATTTCCTCAAGAAGATGAATATAAGTGGCCCCACCACCAGGCACAATACCCTCATCCATGGCTGCATACGTGGCGTTTTTTGCATCCTCAATTCTTAGCTTTCGATCTTCTAATTCCATCTCAGTGTGGGCCCCTACCTATAACCAAAATTCTTTCACTTCATTCTATATAAATTATTTAATTATATAATCACTTTCTCACAAATGTAATAAATAAATAAACTGACCTTGATAATGGCAACACCACCAGAGAGTTTTGCAATTCGTTCACTGAGCTTTTTAGAGAGATAAGAACTATCTGTTTCTGAAAGATCTTTCTTTATTTGTGAAATTCTTGCTTTGATTTCAGCTTTCATGGATGAATCAGCTACAATAGTTGTGTAATTACTTGTTATAGTTACTTTTTGTGCAATTCCAAGCTGATCAGAGGTTGCATATTCTAGAGATAAACCCAAATCTCCAGATAAAAAATCAGCTCCTATTTTAACATGATAAATGTCAGCAGAAAGGTGGCATATAAATAATAAAAACAAGTCTTTAAAATGTAATATACGAAATATTTAAATTGTTAAAAGAATTACCTGTCATGAGGGCAATATCTTGAAGTAAAGCTTTCTTTCTTTCCCCAACACCAGGACATTTAACAACAGCAACCCTAAGTAAACCTTGATTTTTGTTAACAATTAGGGTTTCAAGAACTGAGATTGAGATATCTTCAGCAAAAATGAGCAAAGGGACACTTAATTGTGTACACTTTTCTAGCAATGGGACAATTTCTTTCACAGATGATATCTTTTGATCTGTTATCAGGACTTTAGCATTTTCAAATTCCACAGATAAATTGTTCTGATTTGTGACAAAATGAGGAGACATGTATCCTTTGTCGATCTGTAGGGAAAGTATTCCTGAATAGACATTAAAATATGAAAATGAAAAAGATAAAAAGAATGTATGAATCAATTATCACAAGATGTGTTTCACTTGATACCTTCATTCCTTCTTCAACAATCACTGAAGTTTCACTTGATGAAGAAGATTCAATGGAGATTATTCCATCATGACCGATTTTATCAATGGCTTCAGCGATTAAGTTTCCAATAAATTCATCATTTCCAGCAGAAATGGAAGCTATGGCTGTGAACAGGAAGAAAAGAATCTTTAGAGTTTAGAGAATCTCATGGAAGAAAACACTAAAAAGAAAAGAAATTTACCTTTGATATCATCTCTTTTGCTGACTGGAATCGATTTCTTTTTCAAAACTTTGATCAATTCTTTTACAGTCTTCTCCATTCCTTTCTTTAAAGAAATGGGATTTGCTCCAAAAGCTACAGCCAATAATCCAGATTTGATCATTTCTCTTGCAAGAACAATTGCAGTGGTGGTTCCATCTCCAGCTAAATCATTTGTTTTAGTTGCAACCTACCAAAAAAAATTGAATATTATTACTGAATAATTACTAGTTAATGTCTGATTAGCAGAAATACCTCTTGGATAAGCACTGCTCCTGCGTTTTCAATTGAATCAGGAAGCTCTATGGCTTTAGCAATGGTGACACCATCGTTGATAACTTTGAGTGTTCCAGATTCAGAAAGAACAACATTTCGGCCTGTATAGATCAATCACCATAAGTAAGATTATGGATTTATGATAACTATTGATGTAAGATGGAGGTGTGATATACCTTTTGGTCCTAAAGTGACAGAAACAGCATCAGCGAGTTTATCTATACCAGCAACTAAACCTTCTCTGCATTTTTTATCGAAAGAAACTCGTTTTGCTCCTGCTTTAACCACTACCATTCTCTTTGTTAAAACCTGCTTCCTTCTCCATAATACTCCACAAAAGCTTTGTTTTCCAGACCCTTGCTTCAATATTTATTTGAAAAAATAAAAATAAAAACACAAGTCAAAAACCTCAGGAAACCTAAAATTATACGCCAAATCCCGATTCCACAATTAGAATGCGATAATCCATTTACAGAAAAAGAATCCGAATTGATGTAAAATTAAACGATATTATTGAGTAAATTGCTGCATCAGGAGGTGGATTATAACTGCGGGCACGTATGAGTACAGTAAGAATAAGACAGAAAGAAGAAATAACATACATGGAGCGAACAAGATACCGGATGGATGAACAGCGAAGGAGGAGATAAGAGAGATGAAGACATGCGTCGATTCTTTGCTCGGATTTGATCACCAAACGAATTTCCGTGTTGAAAGAAAATGGGTCGCAATTCGGTCCTGGTGAGGTTTATCAAGGGTTTAAAGAACTTGTGTCTTCACATGAAGAGTAAGAAAATAGGAAGATGACTATTGACTACTTAAGTTAATAACTTAATTTTAGAGAGTTATTAAAAGGGAAATTTTAGTCATTCATATTATTATTATTTTTTAATATTATGTGTAGATTTTTTTTTTCTGAATACAAAGTAATTTTTGAAAAATATTACATAGTTTGTTAATAGTTATAGCGAGAATGGTTTTATTTTTTACTAAAATCAAAACCGAATAAAAATATTTGGTTTTTCATCATGGAAATATCAAGCCATGAGTTTTTTTGGTTTTAGTTTCTCGTTTTGTTTTTCCTATTTCAGTTGCTTTATCCCTCAATAATGTTGCTAAATGTTAACAAAAACGCCTAATTTTCTTAGATATAATAAAAATGCGTAACTAACACATGTTTATTATTTTGATCTTTAATAAATCGTAAATTCATAATCATTTTTTTTAACTTCTAAGACAGTTAATCCATCAAAGATATACATAAAATGACATAGTTTTTGGTATTTTACTATTTTAGTTTTTATATATAAAAAATCAAACAGAACCAAAAAATCAATTTTCTAAAACCAAAAATCAAACTGTTTCATTTTCAAAACAAATTGTTTTTTTTTGTTTTTTTTTTCGGTTTTTGATATAGTTTTGGTTTTTTTGCACACCCTTGTTAACCATCATCTTCATATTTTCTTCAATCACAAAGCATTTGACATACCTCATAAATTGAAATCAAAACCTTTTTGAAAAAAAAATCCAAAAGGTATTTCATATCACCATATCATTTCTTGTGATTGAAGTAAATACGAAGTAAGTGGTTTTTAGGGATGTGCAAAAAATAAAAATTATAACGAAAACTTTAAAAAAAAATGGAAATAAAAAACCAAAACATTTTGAAAAAACAAACGTTTGCTGTCTAGTTAAAAAATTAGAATAATTATTATACATTTATGGTTTCTATTGAAAAAATAAAATGATAAACCTGTATATAAAGTATATAAATCATGGGCAACTATTATTTGCAAAATTGAGGTAAAGTTTATTCACATGATAAATTTAGTCTAACATTTATTTGCAAAAATGGATGTCTTTTCATTTTTCAAGTATGTAGTAAAGTTAATCCAAAGATAACTATGACGTGTTAAATAATTGTATATCCAATAATGTTGGTTTAGTTCATAGTTCATACACTAAACTATGCTATTGAATTATTACTTAGAGTTTAGCAACATTTGTGCCATTTTTTGCATTACAAGAATAAATGTATCATTTCATAACATTGTCGAATCTCAAAAACGTTTGATGGATGCATTTGACATACTTGTAAGCAAAACCCCTTTCAAAATTCAAAAATTTCAAACAATTGCCAAAAAACCCAAATGCAAACCACGAAAAACATGCAAATACAAGTCGATGTAAAACAACTTTAGTGCTTATCTTCTTCTTCACAGAACTTTGAATACTGTTCAGAGTCCATTAAAGAGTTCACTTCATTCGTGTCGCTTATCTCCACTTTTATAATCCATCCATTCTCATACGGACTTCCATTCACCTGAAAATGAAAACAATCTTTTATCATAATCCCATTCGATCTTAAGTTGATTGTTGCAACATTAGATGACTTACCAAACCGGGTTCACCAGTGAGTTGTTCATTTACTTCAACAACCTTGCCGGAAACAGGGGAGTTGATATCACTAGTGGCTTTGACACTCTCAACAGCACCAAAACTGCCGCCCTGAGTCACGGCGGCGCCAACCTCCGGCAACTCAACATACACCACGTCTCCTAAGTGATCCTGGGCATGGTCCGTGATACCGATGGTGCAAGATTTACCCTCCACCTTCACCCATTCATGAGACTCGGCGTACTTCAAATCCTTCACAACTGAAAACAAAGTTCAAAATCGAAATGAACATCATCGAATTTCCGGATTTAATTTATGATTTTCAAATGCCCAAATGTAAAACCGACAAATTGAATAGCTAGAGAGGATCTATAATCTATTATCTATATCACCTTGTATGATCCAATTTAAACATCGTTTCTAGAGAATGATAATCGAATAGAGGAATCGAAATCGATATAACATCAGATCAAACGAAGGAATTGGAAACAGGGGAATATAAAAAGGTAAAGGTGACGAAGGTGGGGTGATTGATTACCAGAAGCGAAACCTCTGTTGAATGTGGAGATCTTGAGGTATGAAGCAGCTTTTGATGCCCATAATCTCGATGCCATCGCCGTTTTTGAATCGTGAATGATTCAGATTCAGTGATTCACCAACCAATTCCCCTTTTCTCTCCTCTCTGCTAATGCCAATATAAAACACAAAAGAAAGAAAGTGTTTTGGGTGGGTGTGCAACTTCTCTCATTAGTCTTGTTTTTTTATTGTTTCCGGATCACCGAATGAGGGTTGGTGGGTTGGTGGAATATACCAAATTGTTTTTGATTTTTATAAATAGGTGTTGGGGTGTAATATTTCTTTTGATTCTTGAAAACTATTTTATATATATATATATAATATATATATATAATATATATATATATATATATATATATATATATATATATATATAGAGAGAGAGAGAGAGAGGTAGGTTCAATTGAGAAAATAAAAAAAGTTGAGAATAGGGAATCATTCTCAGCCACTCATTTAATATAAGCATAAAAAAACACGGTGACAAACTTGTAAATATGTTAATAACCTTCAATCTCAAATACATAACTACAGAGATTTCGATAACAGTTCGTTCATAATCAAAAATTTTCCTCCAACTTTCAATAATCATCCAGATTTCTTCAACTAAACCAGAATTTTTTTGTTGTTCATGAAATTGGAATTGAAGTTCTTGACTCGCAGTCACAGTCGACATTGAAGGACTCAGAATCGGCACTCACAGGTTTCCAATCGGATTTTCGAAAACCAAAATCAAAATGAGAAATCGATCATACATAGGATGTCGCATCTGAAGTCGAAATCGGAAGTATATGATGATTTGGAATTGATAACTTGATGTTTTTAACATTTTTAAAATAGTTAACTTCTATGCACTCCAACTATTTGATGAAATGCGTATACTAAATTATCACGTTATATTCACATATGAATACGTTTTGTCACTTGAATGTTGAATCAGTATATGATTATTAAAAACACAAAACAAATATGCAAGTCTGTATGTTATTCATATGTGAATAACATATAAAAATTATATATATTTGTCAATATACCTTCAAATATTTATAAGTGAATATATTCACAAGTGATTATACCTTGTAATATTCATATATGAATATATTGTATAATATTTATAAGTGAATATATCATCTAATATTCACAAGTGAATATACTATATAATATTCACATGTGATATACCATTTAATACTATATAATATTCACATATAAAAATATCACTTAATACCCATAAAGTGAATATATCATCTAATATTTACAAGTGAATATATTATGTTAATATTCACAAGTGAATGCATCGTCCATATTAAAATTTGAATATACTATGTTTATTATACGTTATATTCATATATGAATGATACTTAAATTGTAAAATAAAAAAATAAAAATAAAAAAAAATAAAAAAAAGATCATACTTTTTATTCATAAGTGAATAACGAATGTGCTGTAATAAAACCTGATGCATTTTTATTCACTTATAAATAACGATAGCTGAAAATATAAAAAAAATAAATTTTTTATTTTATCTTAAAATTATATCAATATGGATGTCTATTTGTAGAGAATAAAAAATCATGAATTTTGGTATATTTAAAATCATTTTTTGATAAAAATAGCTTCTAAAAAATAAAAAAAATGAAAAAAACTATGTTTTTGTATATATTAAGATAATGATTCGCATAGTTTAAGAAAATATGTTTTGTTGGAAAACACATGTGCATTCTTTTCCCATTTCCGCTAGTACGTTGGAGGTTTTTGCGGCAAAAATAAATGATTGGCTGAGAATGATTCCCGCATTCTCAACCTTTTTTTTTCTCAATTGAACCCTCCCCTATATATATATATATATATATATATATATATATATATATATATATATATATATATATATATATATATATTATCTTATAAAAGAAATCTTACTATTTCTATAAATAGAATCAATATAATAATAATAGTTTTTTAAGACGTTCAAGTCTTTAAGTTTAAAGTACAACCAACTATTAATATAATAATATTATAAGATATATCTTACAAATGATAATGTTAGGGATACAAGTATTAAAAACACATTTAAATTAGTATTTTCTTATTTTTAGGGATTGAATTAGTATTTTTCATCAATTTTGACCCAACTTGTACTCATAAAATATATTTTCTCTGGTATCTGGTGCATTCGAAATCTAAAACACTTCTTTTCGACAAATCGTTTGAAATTTAAAAGCTCATTCAAATTGGAGTTCTCTAATTTTTTACATAAAATATAGTTGACTGGAGACTAATTCAAATTTCCATCTCCTTTTCCTCCGTGGAATCCACCACCACAATATTTTTTGGTTTTTGCATTGCACTTTTATTTTTGTGAAACTAATCGATAATAGTGAAAGTGTTCTTAGAAATATAACATGTTTCCGAATGAAACTAATTACTTGAAATAAACTATTCGCCGCTGCCACTTTGCGCGGACAAACGGCTAGTATGTATGTGTGTGTGTGTGTGTGTATATATATATATATATATATATATAGAGAGAGAGAGAGAGAGCTAGGTTCAAATGTTTCTAGCAACTATTGTGTGCATGAATGCACCAATAGAAATTTAGAAAAAAAATAAATCATTAAATAAATCATTTAAGGGTATTATTGTAATCTTTTCATAATTAATTATGGTAGATAATTAATATTCCTGATTCTTGCGAATATAAATTTAGAACATTAGCCCTAAATAGAACTCACCATCCTTTCTAATCCACCGATTTTGCTTCTTCTTCTACAATCGATCAATCAAGAATCAAACCCTAAATCACGAAAGTCCTCATAACCACCGTTTTCTCCACATACGCACGTACACCCTCATCTACCAAATCTGTGATTTCGTCTCCATCAATACCATCAGACGTAGCCACTGACGACACCATCCTCCGTCCTTATAGCCACCGCCACTGACTTATTATTTCCTCATCGCCTAATTCTAATTCGAATTTCTAGATTGAACCTATATTTATGTTAACTTCTTCGTTTAACCCTAACCATTCCAAAGATACAGACACCTCCATCATCAAGAGACTAACATCTGTGGCCTGCTTCTTCCGCCATATCCTTATTGAATCATGTATGCCATCTAAAACCCTAGGCCACCGGCGACTCAATCAACAACACGCTAGAAATCAGCAAATCCAATGGAAGACGTCGCCTTGTAAACTAGGAGGCTGTGTCGGCCGAAATCCTATATATCATGGTATCATCAATTCCTTTTTGTATATGGCTTTTTGTAATTGATTTTAAAATTTAATCGGGTCTTTGTAATTGAATTTAATCGGCATCTGATTGAATTTTTGTTAGTGTGTATATTGCGATCGTCGATTCATTGCATATAATGATTTGCTCTAACCCATTAAAAGGTAGTATATTTTAATGAATTATGATTGCTTTTGTAGTTTTGAAGGTTATTTATCAAAGAATATATGCTATGTATTATATGGTGGTTTGCTAAGCTCCTGGAATCTATAACAAAAAATTGATTGTCATATATACAATTTATACTATAACAATTTTCTTACTTGTAAGTGTATTATTAAATTTGTTAAATAATAAAATAATTCATACTTATAATTGGTTAAATTGTTTACTTGACATGACGTTCCTCTAAAATTATGATGTTTGGTTTTTTTGGTTTCATAATGAAATTGTTGTTGCAAATTTATATTGTTAATGGTTACATTTTCTGTATGAATTGAGTTATTTAAAACTAATTCTTTCAGAATGAGAGTAATATTCTTTTAGAATAAAGAGGGTTTTAGTTTCAATAGGCTACTATTCTTTCAGAATGAAGAAGGTAAAAAATATTCAAAACCATTATGCAAGAATAGTTTATTCTATAAGAATTTTTATTGTTGGATTCTATTAGAATGCATTAAATTGTTTAATTTTTGAAACTTAATTATCTTTTCTTTGTGGATTCCGGTTTTAAAGAGGCTAACATTGATGTGGAGAAGGAAGAAAACATATAGAATAAGAGTGTATTATACCATAATGTGTTATGCTACAATGTATAAAGTGTTGCTTAAAAACAATATTCTTTTAGAATAGATTAATGTTTTTGTTAGATTTTGATGTTTTTTTTTTTTTTTCAGAATGTTGTTATTATTCAATGAATCACAATCATACAATGTAATTATTTGTTATATTATTTAGTTTAAGAATTGATTTGTGTATTCTTTCAGAATGTATTTACTAGTTTATGTTTGACATTCTATCATTCTGACAGAATAACATCGAAAAATATATTTACTAGTTTATAGTTGGCTATCTAGCATTCTGACAGAATAAAATCGGATTTTTAAATTTGAATTAATTTAAAATATTCAAATTTTTAAAAAATAAAGGAATTAATCATCCTTAAAAATCCAAAATTTTCCTTTTTTAATATAGGTTAATTGACTAAAATGTCCTTATTCTGAAATTTATGTGATTATATGGTACATGCTATCATATTCTACTATCATAGACCCTTAAATCATAACCTTTGATTATATTCCATCCGATGGTCCAGATCTGTGCATTCTGGCATACAATAGTTAGTAAAAACAAAATAACCTAACCCTATATATATATATATATATATATATATATATATATATATAGGTTTAGGGAATATAAGGGTAATAGGTATCTACTTGGGTGTAGAACCTAGAAAAACGACACCGTTTGTGGGTAAAATAAGGATCCTTTTTTTGGGGGGGGAAATGATTTAGGAGGGTAAGACTAGCGATGAGCATAGGCGGGTACCCGCCTCATTTGGCGAGAACCGGAACCGGCGGTTCCAAAGAAGTTAGAACCGAAACCGGAACCGCTTTAGGCAGTTCTTAAATGTTTAGAACCGGAACCGGCGGTTCCGGTTCCGGGAGCGGTTAACTCGGTTACATTAATTTTGTTAACTTTTGTTGATAAAACCGCAATTTAGTTCGATCCAGATCAAGTCAATTCGGACCAAATGCGGACAACTTCGGACCAATATATTCTAAACAGGTCTAAGTAACACACATGTTTATATGACATTATATATATATATATATATATATATATATATATATATATATATATATATATATATATATATATATATATATATATATATAAACCGGTTCCGGCGGGTACCCAACAGGTAGCGGTTCCGAAAAAACGAGAACCGGAACCAGAACCGCTTAAGGCGATTCCATAACTTTAGGAACCGGAACCGGAACCGCTTAAGGTGGTTCCAGTTCCAA